CTGACCAAGACATGCGCAGGGAGACCTTGGACATCTTCGAGTCGCACTTTCGGCAGATTGTGGCCTCCGGCTACTACCTCGAAGACGGATATTCTGAGGATGTGGACGCGGTGCTGAATGGCGTCCTTGGCCAGCACACAGCACATTCTGTGCTGGCGGGCCTGGTCGAGAAGAACCGATGGCTAGAGCCGGAGTTGGGCCCGTTGATTCGGACCTCACGGTATGATCTAGCCGCCTTCACAGGTGTGCCCACGAGCCAAGACTACCAAACGGTACACATCTTGATCTCTGATTCCACCTTGTGCTTGGTTAGCGGTTCGAAACGCAAACCCCAGAGGTTCGATCTGGCCGATCACTTCCAGGCCTATCGTCCGACTTACTGCAAGCATTTTCATCACGAATGCCTCTGGGGTGCAGAGTTGCCATTGTTGCTGAAACGAGCCCGTCTTGCCGTGAGGAGCCTAAAGCGCCAGTTCCCAGGCTGCATGCTGCTGGTTGGCGTGGTATGGGCTGGCAACGAGCTCATTGGCAAGAAAGGAATTGAAGCTCAGACTTCATGGCCCTTCGATCATCCTGACGGCGATCACTACATGGAGCTACAGGACAAGGTGCAAGAAGAGCTGGTCGGGTTTGCCGCCGATATGTTTCGATACGGTGTGCACTCGGCCGCTCTCATCAGCGCGCCCGATCCTGAGACCTACAGCTTCACGCGGCAGGGACCCTACAGCGACTGGTTCAACCGGCTGAGTCAGTGGTTCCAGGATGAGGTGTATGGTTCTCAGATCGGCAAGTGTCGCTTCCGCCTAGTCAACATCAACGTCCTCAACATCCGCATGGACTTGCGTGACCAATGGCATTGCGAAAAATCGGACGAGAATGCAAATCATATGTTCTCATTTTGTCAGAGTGTATTCCACCTGCTTATGAGACTCTACGTTCTCGGAGATATCGCATTGGAAGTAGCTGCCACCAGTCCGATGAACCGTCCGCTCGGTGGACTTGAGCTTCGTGATGATCGCCTCCCTCCACATCAGCGATACGAAGAGCTACTCCGAAACCTTGCCGATGTCCGCCACAAAAGGGCAATCGCCGCAGCCGAGCTCACCGCTCGCGCCCTTACCAAGAAGGACGTCGCTGCGGAGCAGCCAAACCGTGCTGCGCCGATTACCGAGGCAGACATGGCCGTCATCGATGATGAGCCCGAAGGGGAGGAAGATGATCCAGACCTTTCGGAGATTTTCGTCGCAAATGACGCCACGGCAGAAAAGATCCTCCAGCAACGCCTTGATGTCATGGAGGAAGAGCAGGAGAAGATTGCTGCAGAGCTGGACATCAACCGAGAAACCTATGAGGGTCGGCTCCAGACGCTTGAGGAACTCAGCCATCGCGTCGAAACTGGTGAAAACCCAGCGGCATGGCTCGACATCGATGCCATCGATGATGAGGATGTATCGCCATATGAGGAGGTCGTGCCAGAAGAACATGAAGAAGAAAGCGCACCTCATGGCGAGGAAGGCTCGGCCGCCATCATTGGCGAGCCCGAGCCCGAGGCACCCTCATCGCCGCCGGCAGCTGATGCTGACGAAGGCCACGTTGTGTGCCCTCAGTATCTTGCAGACCAATACCACGAGTACACGTACAAGATGGCTGAGGTCGATGGCGCCTTCCAGCAAGTGGTCCAGCTTGGCGACAAGCAATTGCCGCTCCACTTTGCGAGCGGATGGGAGCTCAATGGCGGGCACCTTTTCTTCGCGAAACCCCTCAAGGATTGGCTCACCCAGTTATCCAAAGTTGTTCGACAACATGACCAATATCTGGGCCTTGAGGTTGACGAAGATGGCTACGCAGACTTGGACGAAGTAGCCAGGTGTTTCGGCCTGAATCACCGCAGTGCCCCGCCGCTCACCGTCAAAGACTTGATCGCCATAGCAGCAAAAGACAAGAAAAACCGATTCGAGTTTTTGGGCATTCGAGAAGGGCACAAACTCGAGGAGAAGGGCGTGGCACTATGGCCTCTGAAGATGCGTGCCGCTGCTGGCCAAAGCAAGCACGCGATCAAGAGCGCACAGGACAACTACAGATCGGCAGCCCTGATGTACTGCAGTCCTGCGCTCAGGCAACGAAAAAGCTCCCTTCATTGGGAAGCCCATCGCCAAAGCGGATGAGATCCCTGTCTTGGCCTACCACCGCACGAGGCCAGCGTGCTGGAAGCGGATCGTCAAGGAGGGCCTCATCCCAGGCGGGGGCGAGTTTGTTGGCAGCGATCGAGCCCATGTCTACCTGGCTGCAAGTCGCATTACGGAGACCGACTATCAAAGCGGTCTCCGCGGCAAGCACCCTATTCAGCTTACCGTTGCACTTCGGGAAGCAGTCGATGGCGGTCTCATCTTTTTCCAGAACCGCTCCGGTGGGATCATGACGGTTGACACGGTACCTCCAGAATACATTGTCTCCGTCGAAAACACCGAAAGCCAGTCCACACTCTGGACCAGGGTAAGCGCCGTTGGCCTACCCGAGGCTGCTCCAGCGGATGGAGGTGAGAGCCGGGCCGCCATCACTGGCGAGCCCCGGCCAACCGCAAAAGCAATGCCTGTTTCCCTGACTGCAACCAGCAAATCGGCACCTGCAAGCAAGGCTGCACCTTCTACTCCACCTACTTCCATCGTGAATGTGGCAGAGCAAGATCAACCTGAAGCATCTTACAGCGGGTACGCTCCGCCTGAGCCTGCGGGGCCTCCACCTGGCTTTGATGTGCCGATCACCGCCCCGACACTTCGAAAGGGACGCAAGCTGACGGTGATCCAGGTCGAATGCAGCCAGTGCAAGGGTCTAGTCCTCAGGGGCATGACCCACTGTGACATTTGCTCAGCCGAACTTGCCACCAACACCGAGCTGCCGGAGGAAGCCGTCACCAGACTTTCAGTTCTCCGAAAGCAGCAGCTTGCGAGGGCAGGCCTCGCTCGCACTGAGTGCCCAGTCAGCGACTACATCAAGGCTGGCCTCAACCTGCGTGTGGTGTCTGCAAGCGGCCGTGGAAACATGAGCCCAGAAGCGATCATGATCCAAGACGCTCGCAGCCGGATGAAGCGTGCAGACAAGTGTGGCTTCCAGAGCATCGAGGATCGCTTCGAGCATGACGTCCAGTTCATGGAACGAATGCTACAAATGGGCTATGACCATCGGGCAGCGCAGCGGCAGGATTGGCTTTGCCATGCTCACTTGGCGAACCCGCCGCGCAACAAAGCGCAAGTCAGCCTGGGCCTTGGATATGACGAAGATCATTCTCTGGCACGGCTGGCCTACATCGACGTAGCGCCCGATCGCTATCCACAGGCCATGGACTACATTCCTGAGCAATGGTGCGTGATCTATCGCACAAACATCCTCTCCTTGCGTGAGTACATCGAGTACATCAACTCACCTGACTCCCATCGTGGCCTTTTGGCTTGGGACGGCGTGCATCAGATGAGCCAGTATTGCGCAATGGAGGAGCTTCGCCAGCTATGCCATGACAACCTCTCCGCTGCCAGGCGCGATGTGGTCAACAAGCAGACTCAAGAGCAGCGCCAGCAGCAGAGCAAGGGCAAGCGCAAGTCCTCTACCGGAGGTGATGGAACTCCAGCTTCAAAGGCAAAGGGAGGTCCGCCACCCTCACCGGTGAGCCCACGTGCATCCGGATCAGCATCGTCCTCGTGGGGATGGAGCTCATGGAACTGGAGCGAGTGGGGCGAGCAGCGGCAGTGGGACCGCCGTTCGTGGAACTGGAGCTCGAGTCGGAGCCAGTGGCATTGGCGTTAGTTGAGCCAAGTCTCAACCTTTTTGCCTGAGCGAGCATAATTCATTGCATGACATCCATTGTCAATATGTATGCGGTTTTCCTCCCAAGTCCAAACTTTCAATTTCTTTTGGCGGCGGGGAGTGAATAATTAAAATGCACGTACAGGGCCACGAAGGCAGTGGATTGCTAGCATCCACAACTGCCATGCAGCTTTGAGCCGACATCACTGTCGTGCCCTGCACAAGCCCTCGTGCACTTTCCGCGTCCAGCTTCGGGAGCAAAGCTACCTTAGCTGAGGGGGGTGTATTTTCACTCCATGTAATATGTACATTCTGTACCTTGCACATAGTAGGATGTCATGTCACCTTTACTTTGCAGCTCGCGGCCCAAAACAGGAGTTGCAGCTTAACGGCTGTTTCTATATAATGATATAATTAATATCCCAAACGCTCCATGAGACTGCCATATATGCCTACAGGAGGTCAATGTAGGCATATATTCCGTACATGGAGTCTATGGGTATGGGAGACCTCCCAGTTCGGGCCCCTGGAAGACGGGACAATAGACCAACTCCCATTGGTTGGGATGGCACAACTTGTGGACTGCTGGAGCAAACGCCGCCCAAAACTTGTCCCCATTGGCTCAGCAGATCTCCCAGCTTACTCTATAGTGAGGTTTTGACTCGGTCGGAAATTAGGTATTAGTAATATGCTTTTGCGATCTGCGCGGAGCTCTTGGTCCGTCGCACAAGAAAGAGAGCGGCAAGGGGACCTGTGCCCAGCCCGCAACGAACGGAGTGGGATCGCCGAACGGAGTCCAGTCGTACCTTCTGAGGTTCGGTGTTTGAGATGGGTACGATGTGGGTTCAAATACCGAGGAGGCACGACTGGAGCTCTAGGGATTAGACCTGTTCATGGAGGCCCTGCTCATAAACATCAGGATCCAATTATTAATGTAATGCCTTTCTATATCAGGGCCGTTCTGGCTCACTTTTGTGGGGCGACTGGTCGGCGACTGGTCGTCAAGCCGGATGAACCCATGAGTCAAGGCGTGCAAATGACAGCCGATTAAATCTGAGAGAGGATATCCTCAATACTGAACAGAGTCCTAGCTAAACGCAAACTTTTGATTTTGAGCTGTCGGATGCAACATGATTGTATTTTTCTTTGCATTCCTCGCAGTTTTCGCGGGAATATCCAGCCGACGAACCTGAGAGCGAACCATGGAGACTGAAGAAGCATGGCGGGTGGTGCCTGGTGCAGAGCAGCTGGCGTTGCACGTGCGCCTTGGATGAAGCACACACCTGTGGATGTGAAGAATGACCTCAGGTGGAGCCTGGAGAGGTAGTTATGGTAGGCACCGTTAGGCTGATGATAGGGGTATATCAACCAATGGTGGAATGGATATCAACCCGGGTGGTGTTCCTTCGCTTGGCACGTGCGAACAAACAGTGATGGCATGAACCTTTGGAAGACTATTTTCCTCTACAACTCAGTGGTTTTCAGGTTCCATGTTAATGTTCCAGACTGTAGGGGTGACGAGTGACAATGGAGCTTTTAGTAATATCTCTCATAGGATCTCATAGGTGTTCGAACGTTTGATTCAGAAGTTCCCACTTTTTCCCATATATATATATATGATTGATAATATATGCATGGTGGGCGTCATGATATTGGTTTTGTATTGTATGGGGATGATATCACCAGAAAGTTTTATCTACACTATTCTTTAGCCTTCTATAGATGCTTCTGTCCCAAACGAGGTGAAACCCCGAGCAAAGGATTGGCCATTTCCTTGCGTTCCCTTTTCTCTTTGGCGCCTTCTATCGACCTGTGGATGGGCAATCAAAATCCAACACCTGGGTGGGCACGCGGAGCACCAGGCATGTGGTTGATGCTTTGCTCCTCCAGGCCTTGACGGAACATATCGTCATGAATGTTCGACGGATAATGCAAAGTTGTTAAGGGGCCACCCCGCCTAAAAAAGTCAGGACATTGGCACCCCTCCAAATGGGTATCGTCGTCGTTCCTCGGATTTTCAGAAGATCCCAGAACGTGGGTTGACCTGTTTGGCAGTCTCTTTGGTTCATGACCGGGAAAACACCCCCGGTCCCCCGGTTTCGGATCGTCCAAGCTCCCGGCACCGCCCCGACCGCCCACGGACCACTTCAGGTGCACCTTCTTGGCCACCACGGGGCTCGTGGCGATCACCACTTGGGCAATTTGCAGCCGGATGACTTCCACGAGCTCAGGACGAAGAGTCGATGTGATCTGCGCGCGATGCGCATCGCGCGGTGTGATCTGCGCGCGCGAGTGTTTTCTCTAAGGAGACGGCATGGGACGGCAGTGTTTTCTTCGATGTATGACGGAAGTTCTGGCGCGTGCGGGTGTGGATGGGATTCTGCGAAGGTGTTTCATGGATGTGGGTCAAAGCTGGATCTCAAGATCTCGGAGGTTTCAACCCCAAGGTCTCATGGACTCATGGTTTTGATATGTTTTGACCCATGTTGCAACTTTCACTGACCAGAACAAGGTGGTCGAGTCTCAGTCGAGGCAGAATCTGACCAACCTTCTTGTGAAGGACCAGGACGACGAACCCTTCACCACGGGTACACAGTGTTTACTCATGAGTACCGGGAGCTGGTAAAGCCATGCGACCTGCAATGACCTGTATCCTACCCACAACTCACTTTGTGTGCAGTACTGGCTCCAGTCGTACCGTATCGTTTCGATTCGGTGGGACTGGTGGTGCCAGGGTCCATACCGAAACTCGGATGTCCTGGAGTGGCGACGCAGGAGGTGCCGCTGACGACTACTTTGCGGGCGGCAGGTCCTTGCGATGGCCGCTGACGGCGGAAATCGGTTTTTTTTTAGGCCGTGGGGAAACGACGTGCGAAGTCCTTGTCGGGGCTATGAACCAACGTGTGGTCTCAAAGTTGGGGCTTTGGAACTACGAGCCCAAGGATCATTCAGGACCTCTGTACAAAATAGGAAACGCGCCTTCCATTCAATGGGGCAAAACCATGCAAAGTTGGGGCTTTGGAACTACGAGTCGACCGGTCGACCGCCGAGACGGACGTGACGGTTGCGGACGATGTCCCTAGAGCCAACGGTCTTGATTCTCCGCCTGCGGCATAGCATACTCCCCACTGAAGCTGAACTGGTGGGAAGAGGTGAGGCTGAGACCTCGTTTTGGGAGGGTAACATGGTTCTTGGTAGGGCCAGAGGATCGGATCCAACATGGTTTTCTTTGGGGACCTCTCCAGTTTTCCCAAGTCAATGATTAGTTCATCTTGTTTTAGTTGTTTTAGGGACACCTACCATCACATTACATATATACTCATTGGATTCAATTCTTGCTACAACCCACTGCTGTGTAAGTCTTTCCGTGTGGTTCACTGATACGCACTACCAGCTCCTTTTGGCTTCTTAGAGACTCCCTTCAAAAGCATTGGAAAGTGAGCTTCGAAAGTGACCTGCCTGCTTAGCCAAGGCAGTAAGATCCGCGGTTCACCGCCGGTCAAGCACGCCCTTGCCAGGGTTTCAGATGTTCAACAACGTTCAACACTTCATGACAAGGCTGAAAAAGCTATTTCTTGTATGGCGGAAAGATGTCCGGGACCACCAGGCATGTTCTCTCAAGCTCACGCGCAGGAGCTGTGCCGTCGGGCTCTCGATGCATCCGTTGGAAACGACGCGTGAAACGACGCCTGCAGAGCTAAGGTACGTGGTGGCAGGCTCCCTGATGTTGACGAACTTGTCCACGGAGCAGCTGGTGGGTCTCAACGGCACAGTGCCTGGGAATACACGGAGCAGCGGGAGAAACGGGGGGGAAACATGTTCGATGGGATCGGTGTATGGGATCGCTGTATGAGTTGGATTCTTAGAGTTAAGATAGGCAACAGCAACGGTCCATGCCCGAACCGACCAGTGAACTAGACCCTCGATGACATATATTGATATGGTTATACATTGGGGTGGTTTCAGTTGGAGTGTGTGGACATTGAATGTGTTTTTCCAATGATGTTTCCTTCCTTTCACATCCTTTTACTCACTAGGGTGACTTGTACTTGTCCAAAACTGAGTAAGTTCTGAAGTAGTTCAGTGTCCGTCACAGAAAAAAGAGCTTCACCCCTTATGTGTCCGCGTCTGTAGGAGCTTTGGAAACTAATGCCTATACCTCCCTGTCGGCACTACCTCCAGACTCATGGAGACTGTTGATGAATTTCAGCCTCCCATCTCCACGTCTTTAGATGTCTTTAAGGTTCTTTCTGTTTTTTTCACCCTCTGATGTTCTTTTTTTTTAAATAAATATATACATCTCCATTCCTGCCGAGGGTTTCATACATCAGTTAACATTCATTTTTGAGATGGCTTTACATCTCCAATCCATTTAATGTTGAGGTTATCACATCAACAACATTTTCAAGTCTTCCAGGTCGACGATCTCGCAGAATGTCATCTCAGGTCTACACGGACCACTCCATGGCGGGCATTTGGTTGGAGGTGAGCAGCCAAAAGAACAGCAGAATAAGATTGCACATCGTCTATATATATATATATATTTGTAGTATCGATGTTTTTTATGTGTGTTCTTTATGTGTGTTCTTGTCCTATGTCCGGTCTCTTTTCATGTTGTTTGTGTGTGTTTGTGTTCTTTTTTGTGTTAATTTGCCTCTGGCCGCCACACGCTGCGGAGGCGGGCGCTGCTTTGGCGATGACCATCACCGCCACGCTCTTCCTACCTCGCTACATGGCCCTGGGACTCACCACCACCAGCGGCTTCCTCGGTGCCCTTGTTGGGGGCACCGGAGTGCAAGGGAGGATGTGGATGCGGGGGATGTGTATTTTCAATAGGGAGACACCCAACCGATATATGAGGTGTTAATCTATTTTCCCTTCTTCCACGAAGTCTTTAAACAGTCTCCCTATGATTGTTTAAACACCCATGTGCCATGGAGTTTTGGATATGAGAAACACCCCAAGTGGAGAACCCTGTATACTGGAATTGTGTGTAGTAGATCGAACACATGGTGTTTCCAGACATGTCATGACATGTCTAGACTCTCAAGAACAAATGACCCATGAATTGTGGCTATAAATAATCTTTATTGCTTACAAATCACCCAAAGTTCTAGGGATGTTCCTGTGACTTGCCCACCAGTCGCAATGCTATCGCAAGGTTCCTGTATTTGATCGATCACTTGAGCAGACCGGTCGGCCAACTGCTTCATAGACAGCATTGAACGATGTACAGGTACGGTTGAGGGACAAACAATGGGTGCATCAGTTGAGAACCATTTAGAGATTATACATGAGATTACTAATTGTGTTGTTGTGTTTGTTTTTGTTGTTCTTGTAAATTCAAAGAAACATATCAATCTTTGGGTGTTGCTTCGCCTTTGGTCTTTACACCGCATCTCCAGCTCTGGTGAACGTCACGCCACACCGAGGTGAACGTTTCGACCTCTTCACCCGGACCTTGGGCTCTTTGCCCTTCGGCCGTGCGAAACGGAAACGGACCTCTCTCGACCGTGCGAAACGGTGTGAAGGCCTGAAGATCTGAAGATGGATGGAAGATGGGTGTTTTTCTTCAATCGAGTCTGGACAGGATTTTGAAGAAGAGCAGAATTGGTTGGTGTAATCCACTGGCAATTGGAGTGGAATATCATCATTCAGCAATTCAAACCATGGCCTTTGGTCCAAAACGCTCTCAGTCACGCCGTGTCCGTGATGCGACGCGCCCCCAGAAAACACCACGTGGAAAACGCCGTGTCACGTGTGAGGCTCTTCCTGGTCTTCTACGTCTTCGTGGTTTGCCCCTTCGCGCTCTACACCGGGGCCTTGGCGATTCGGAACATCTTCGACCTTGACAGCGCCATCACAACACCGCTCAGTTCTTCTTCTGTCGCGTTTTGGGTTGGTGTTTTCCCAGGTTTTTTTGTTTGGGGAACTTGATGAAAGTTGTGTGTATATGCTTTAAGTTTGTTTGTGGTCCTGACTGGATGCTCCCTGTTGGGACATTTTGCTGCATGCCGATTTGGAAACCCGAGCAAACCAAGAGACATGGTTTGCTTGACGCACCTCCAATGGTCCAAGTACAAAATGGGCCAGATACCAGCGGGGTTTACAAGCCAATATGAAGTGATACATGGCATGCAGTGCTTCCGATTGGTCGACGTCCAATGGTTGAACACTCATACAAGGCATGTAGCATCCGTTCAACCAGAATGAACAGGTCCAATGCGGATGAGATTCCTGCACTCTCAGTTTTGGCATTACATGCTTTTTTAAAGATCCAATTTAAATTGTGAAAAGGATGAACTATATGCATGTGATTAATATAACGATGCACATGCGCACACACACACACACACATTCTGTCATATTCTGTCAATATTGGACATGTCCGCAGTTGGGGAAGGACATGACTACTAGATTAATATATTATATCTTAATCCACGGACTAGCCTCGTTTGGACCCCCCACATGCTGGCACGAATGCTGGTGCCGCTCATGGCCCAAATGCCCATGACTTAGTCTGACGTCCAACAAACTCGTTTTCAGGTCCTTTGGCGGGCGCCATAGATACAGTAGACTTGGCCTCGGCCATGCCGAGGCCAGTGAATCCGCATGGCATGATACAGCGGAATTGTTGACTGGTGTCACACATGGCATTGTTGACTCGTGTCCAATACAGCTTATAATTGTAAGTTTTTAGTTGATCCAATTGATATTTGATGGCATGGTCCAGACAATCGACTCCGGCATGGCATGGTTCTCCTCGGTGTTTCTCGCGCCTCCTAGCACCCTGGTGGGTGCTTTGTTCCCTACCGGTGAGTGTGGATGGAGTGTGGAGTCCAGGCATCGGCCTTCTGATCGTGGGGATTTGGGTCCCTGCGGCCGCGCTCTACCAGTTAGGCCGAACACCCGGGTGAAGTGGTTCTGAAAGCCCGCGCGGGAGGGCGGGGAGAGGACGTTCTGCCCAGTTGCCGTTGGTGAGATGAGTGATGTGCGGGCCCCAAAGGTGGTCACAAGGGGACTCAATGGTTCTGCCTCGTGATGTGATTTTTTGGGGGATGTTAATCCAATTAGGAATCGATTAGAATCATTATACCTATATATATATATTATATATATACCTGTCATGTTTTCATGCCACCATGTGCATACGGTCTATTGCAGTCATTACACCGCTACGTGCTCGTGCTCCGTGCTCCGTGACGGATCGAAGTTCGCAGCGAGGCGGTGTCTCGACACTGTTCGAGGAGCCCAAGGTGTTGAAATCCTTGGTGGAGCACAGTGCTGCTTGGACGAATGAGCCCACGAGTGTGCTGCTTCGGCTGAATCGGCCTGCTGCTTGAGCTTGCTCAGCTGGGATAGTTTGAAGATCTCTAGGCGAAGCAAGAGAAAGTATACCTGCTAGTTTGGCTACCAGCTACCATCTCAACATATCTAGGCTGGTAGTTTGAAGCTCAGCTGGTTTGCCATAATATTCCATCACACAGAAGAATTCCCAAGCCTTCAGGCTCAGGGAGATATGACATGCCAGACCTCGTGGGACAGGTCGACACCTCGTCCTCGGGTCGGCTTGGACGCCGAAATCCAGACCTCGTGGGACACGATGTCGCTCTCGTGACTTGGTCGCTCTCGTTACCTTGATGCCATATTCTTTGGCCAAACTTCTTCGGCTCCCAAACCTGAAGCCCGCCATGCACGATGCTTGGATCGACAACCCACCACCCGAAAACAACGACGCTAGACTACGACCACGACGTGACTCCGGTCCCTCATGAATTTCGACCGAGCAAGGTCATTGCTCCCTGGCACGTGAACTTCACAGGGCTCTTTCTCACCAACGTCTACTACTGGTCCACCAACCAGGCCCGCGACGTGGGTGTTCCACTCGGACAGCCGTGCGGATAACTTGAGCGACGTGGGTCATAAGGGGGGGCCGCAGTGGTGGTGATGTGCGAAGGCAGTGCGAAGGCACAGAGTCGCTGGTGTTTTTTTTCAGTGGGATGGGGTCAGCACATATATAATATAATATCTAGGGTAGACATGGGTAGACATATATATTCTATAGTCTATAGTTGACTCTTCAACAAGATGCTTTTGATACTTAAAAGTCAGGGATCATAAACCTGCCGGAAATCTCTCTTAAGTTAGCTTGGTTTGTACACCCAATCCTTTGGACGTGGTGGACCTACCCATGATCTTCCATGCCTTTCTTCATAATCTCCAAAAGCCAGCCGAAAGGGCATCATGTTTGAACAGCCCTACACCCTCCAGTCGTACCTTCGTATCGAAGGTGGGACTGGGGTGGCTGCAAAGAGGGTCCAGTCACAGCTTCGTTTCGGAGGTACTTGGAACATCTTGGAACCCTAGGGCAGTTGGAAGATGGGACCAGCCTGGCTTGGCCTTTTTAGTGTCTGCAAAGACGCGCCAGGTCATCGTGCAGCGCGCGCTGGCCGCCCGAAGTCTGGCTGACGGGCAGAAGGGCGTGCTCTTTGCGGCCTCGATGATGCCTGGAGCGAAGCACCGACTGACGCACCGACTGACTCCATGAATGGATCTTGATGTTGAGAGGACCATAGATGATGAGAGGATCATGGGACGTCATGGGATCCTCGAAACACCGAACCACTTAGATGGCTCGTTGTGGACGTCGGTGCACGACCGGAAGGATCGGTGACGCAACTATTGGATTATGACAGCCGCATTGTGAAGCCAATCCTGATCCATCTGAAACCACTAAGACTGAAACCATTATGATCCATCCGAAATGTACAGATATACCTGGAGGGATAAGAGTGAAATAGATATCTATTCACAATATTATTAGATGGGAGATGATAGAATGTCTTGGCTGTCACATGCATATGTTGTTTTGGCAAGTTCTCATATGGTGTGTCTCGAATAAGAGTGACCCAAAGAAGCCACAGTATACAAGAGACAACCTAGCCACTGTACCCGGGCCCAAATGTTATTGATAGGTCAGTCATGCATGTCCGAGAAAATCCTGCCTTTTGGAGCATGGCAGCATGACTAATAGTTGTCCCAATGTTTTTCCCAACACACGGGCTGTGGGAAGATGAAGATCCTGAATGACTCCTGACCTCTTGTTTGCCCATCTCATTTATATATATCTCCAAGTTCTTAAGGAGACCATCAGGAGCACCTCTCCGGACGGGCAAAAACGCCGTTCACGCAGTGATGATCCCCTTTTTCCTTCGTCCCTCCAGCCAACAGGCAACACCAATCCCCTCCGGGTACTCCATCTGCCGAGCCATTTTCCGTTCCGCCTCAGCCGAGCCGTTTTTCGCCCGCAAAACCCCTCTTTGATTCGATCCGCACCCTTCCATCCTCAAAACCGGGAATGAGCCTCTCCCAGGAAGGTGGTGGGTTTCATTTTCCTTTGCTTGCCGGGCACCATTGGTCTCTTGTGACTTGGAGGGCGTGGTCTTGGGCACGTGAAACGTGGGGGAAGATGAATGAGACACCGCCGGGGGGGATGAGAAACTGCCGGCTGTCCAGTCCAGTTGCCCAAATTCTCCAAAGACTATCACTGTATTGTCACTATATCTCTTGAGAGGTGAGAGGTTGTCAGGTAGATGTTTTCCGGAGAAGTCTCCACCTGAACCTGAGACTGTCGTTGATGCAATGTGTCATGGTACACTCTCAGGTACATCGCAACGAGATCCAACGTGCAAGTCCCGTTTGATCTTGTTTGTGTGCTAGTTTGGTTGGGCCTCCAAAAGACACCGGAAATCATCCCGTTTCAAGACACCACGACCTCGATGGAAAGCTCCAAAAGCACCAATCTCCCACGATGGTCCACCAGGACACAATGTCAGCCTTGACTCCTCAGAGGGTCTCCAAGCTTGATTGTTTTTGGTGAGCCTCACAAACGCGTTGAAACCAGAAGTAGTGTGTTATAGGTATGTTGGTTCTAGGCTGTGCTATGTTGCCTCTCTTTTTCAGACACAAGAATAGGTTCGGCCGGCTTCTGGAACCAGCGAACGTCACATTCGTAGGGTCAGGCACCCTCCATGTCGGATTCTTTTTGCAAAATCCCTAGGGCTCCGGTCCCATCTCCTCAGGTTCGGTGGCCTAACCGCCCACCCCAAGCACCGAACCTCTGAAACCGAAGGGGAATAGATCCGAAAACGGAGCCCTTCAGAACACCGGAAAACCGGACTGTCGTCCATTCCCCCGAAAACTTACAGTCCCAAAACATGGACCCGGGTCGAACGATCACACTCTGAAAGACTCTGTTCAGATGTCTTGCTCCACCTCTGTTCAGCTCGTCCGAGCTTTTCGGGGGAACTGGGGAACTGCGCAGTTCCACACCGAGGTTGGTGCGACGGAATGCCACCATCAACGGTGAGCCCTTCACAGAGACTTGGCGGAGGGTAGGTGGATTGGGTGACCCCGCAAACCCGACAAAATGATTTGGATGACTGAGAGGGTAAGCCAGTTAGGGCGACGGAACTCGGAACTACGCAAAATATGTCTATACCATACAGTACCAGAGGTTCATGCACCCTCATATGGAGGGGCCGGACCCTCATGTCCTCAAGTGTAAGCACGAATCATGGATATCCTGGATATCCTCTCACCGCTCATTCCATGGGTTCTTCAGGGCTCATTCCATGGGAGAGTCTTGGGCTCTTCAGGGCTCGTTTGATGGGAGAGTCGTGTTTATATATTACAAATTTAATTACATCTATGTATTCAACACTTACAAGGGGTCCGGGTGATTCATAACACACCCGTTCAGGCTCTTTTTGGGGCTGTTTCATGGACAAAGTGAACGAAGCCCTGGAGCCCTGTCATCTACACTCACACATGGCCATGGTGGAAGTGGATGGCATGGGTCCCGAAAGGACGACTTGGAACTCCTCTCCGAGTTCCCAGCTGCGTCACGTGTTCCACCACGGTCCGCGTGTTCGCTCGCGTGTTCGTCGGGCACGTGTTGAGTCGGACGTGGTGAAAACCACCTCAGCTCGTGCCGTTCGTTCGTCACGTGCGGAATGAGAGCCACTTGAAGAATCGAAACAGAGGCCACTTAGGTTCGTTCAGAGGACTTTAAGGAGGTCACCCATGACATTTCCTTGTTGAACATATTCTTTTTGATAGATTCACATTTACAGGAAGATTGGAATGACCTCATCTATTCGGCATGTCATGTGCAATGAACTTCAGGGCAAATCTTCAGGGCAACTTCGTGGTCCAATGCTGCGCCACCGAATTCCTGCATGCATCTATCGTTGGTGGTTGGTTCGGCATGCCGAACTGTCATGGAAGCTAAACCGAACCGCCGAACCGAGGGGTTCGAAGCCGGTGGAACTAAATCGAAGTCGGTCCCGGTGGAGAAAGGAAGGTAGGAACAGAGCCTGCTGGGCCTGCTGGCATCGACTCACCCCGGGCCCCAACCGATGTTTCGGAGGTCGCCACAGGTAAGATCGCTGGCCACTCAGTCTTCCGTCAGGTCAAGAAGAGCGATGAGGTCTATCCTGAGCACCCAGGAGTTGAGTTGGCCCGCTGCCTTGTTCAGATCTGTAGAGCAAAACTAGTATATCATATACCAGGACCTTCAGTACGTGACCGTCCTTGAGATCCTAGAATGAGGTCACGAATCGTCCCTAAAGAGGCTTACAGACTCCAAAGAGGTCACGAACTGAAGGTCCTGGTAGTAATTATCCGTGCTTTTTTGCGATATGTTGTGGGTGCCCTTGTTATGCCCATCATCGTATGACAGATGTTGTTGGGGTTCCACCGTCAGCATCGTGAAGTCTTTGTCCTGAAGACCCGGGTGAGCGATGTCGCCGTCGCCGCCGTCGACCGACCAAGCTGCAGCTACCGTTCTGAACCGTGTTTTGACCTCGGGTTGATCCCGATCTGTAGGTTGCGATGGTAAAACCTCTTCATGTTGGGGGGTTAATCTTATGACTGAACAAGTCTGGTTATGCGTAGATGTAGTGGTGAAATGCCGGTGCATCACTCTGACCTTAGCCATTAGCATCCATTAGCCATAGCTCCGGACGGGACCTGACCGCATGAAGTGAAGCACCCTAGTCGTCATTCAGCAGAATTCATAAGATATACCAAAGTGGTGGTGAAACTGGATTCGATCAACTTTGCCTTCACAATCTTTCACCTGTTTGGATGAACATGCAAAATCCATCCCCCGAAAGGTTTTGGGGTTTCGTTTGGGAGGCTTCCCTTCCAGCCCTGCGCCCTGATCGCTCACCTAGATAACCGGTTTTTGGCATGTTCGATGTTAAGAAGGAAGGAGTTCTTGGGTTTGTGGATCTATTCGGTTTTGTTTGCTTTTTCCCCAAACTTTGTGTGAAGAATCCCCTTCTGGGGAAGGTTTTAGATCTTTTTTTGTTCAGTTCCTAAATAGCAATTTCTATATAATAGTTAAGAGTCCATCAGGTTGTCAACCATCCATCAGGCCATTTGTCCTAGTGAAGCTATGTCCTTTTGTCTGGTATTTGTACCCTATATTGTCATTCCATGGTACCACGGGCTGTTTATAGTGTCATTCTATGTCCTTCTTGGTCATGACCAAACTGTCTAGGGTGATAGAACACTGTACAGGTGAAAACTATGGCATTTGGTTCTCCTTGATTTGGGCTCATTCCGTATTTGTCCTCCACCTATATATATGTCTGTAGACCTTAAGACCGACTACCATCATCTTTCCTCAAACCCTAAACCCAGAAACCCGTCGAACACCATCCCCTTCAGAAACACCCTCAAGATCCCTCCAGCCCCCCCCAAAAGACGCTGACATTGACCCCATCGGTGACCCTTTCCAGTGCCCCCACCGGTGGTGCGTGGTGTCGCCGAAACCGGCGTCCGCCGAGGCTGGTGAAGGCGGTGATGCCGCTCTGGTCCTTGGGCTTCTTCGCCGCGGTGCTCGTGGGCAGCGTGTTGAGCTCCTTCAATTCGGCCCTGAACTCGGCGGCCACGATCTTCGGATTGGAGATCTATAAGGTTTACATCAACAAGGAGAGATGGAAAGAGATGAGGGGATCAGTGAGGTAGGTGTGTGTGTGTGTGTGTTTGTGTGTGTGTGTGTTTCATTTTCATCCGGCGTGGTGGCGTGCTAGTAGCTGCATCCGACGAGATGCCCTCCGGTGCGAAGAAAATGCCTCCTCATCCCTGGTTTCGTCGGGACGAAGGGCCGCCCTCTCGCCTCTCGTCTCCCATCCCATCCCGTCGGTCCCAAGAAGTCGGAGATTGGGTCCATCACTCATAGAAGCTTCAAGCGCTCGCACATCCATGGGACTGGCATATATACATTGGAGTGGTGTCAGGGGTCAATGGGGAAACAGGTTTGCCTTCATGTTTCCCAGGCCAACTCTTCTGGGGTCCTCCTCGTGGAGCAGCCTGAAAAAACACAAAGACTCACGACCTAAAGAGATAAACTCACGGCCAAAAAGATAATTTTGGAGATCCTTATTTTCTTTGGGAGAGACTGTTTGCAAACCTTTGTGAAGAATAAGTTCCATTGACAGTGCACATGCAGACTAATGGATCAGTAGCGTAGGCTACCAATCGTACTGCAAATGATTACCTTGTTGTGCACTTAGCAACACTCCATGTAGAATGTTCTTCTTGACATGATGCGCCGTGGTGCTGCATGGTGGTGTGACATGTTGCACAGGGGCTTGGCATCATCTCTGACCTGAGGTGTGTTTTGGGATGTTTGGGCATATTTGGCATCCAATCGCGGCTCGATCTGCTGGGGCTTTCTTGAGCTTCTTTGTGGAGTCCGTTGTATTCCTAAATGTTTAACCATTCTCTGGCGCGCTCCCATGGGCTGGGTAAGGGGCAAAATCAATCAATGACGACAGACGACAGACAATCCTCGACATCTGAACTACCGCAAGGAAGATCGATCCTATTTGTCAGATAATTGATGAATGACGTTCGAATGCACTCATTAAGATCCGTCTATGAGTGTCCTATTTTTGTATGAAGAATGGAGTTGTTGTTCTCAAAGCTTCAACCCGAAAATACCCGAACTTCTTGAACCCGAACTTCAACCTGGCTCTTCTTTTCTACCCGAACTTCTCGTTCTTCACCGGTCTAAACACCTCCCTGCCGCCCGTCAGGACGCCTCGGAGCGCCGCGTGGTGAACGTCTCCACGGTCTTCGGGGCGGCGATGACCTTGGGATCCTTCGTGGTGGCACCACTCTTTCAGAAGATCGACGTCCTTTTGGCGAATGGGTCAGGTCTGCAGTATCACACAACGCACACACAACGCTAATAGCGAGGGATGGGAGGTATGGGAGGTATGTCTTATTTTTTGGGGGGGCACAAGAAAAAACCACACTGGCGAGGTATGGGAGGTGGAAGTAGATGGGAGGTGCTCTTTTTCCTGAACTCGAAGGGGTGTCAGCCCTTGTGGGTTTTGTGGTGTTTTTGTGCGGTCTTGGAAAGAGGTGTGAACAATTGCCCGATGTTACTTTCTGGGCATCAGTTACAGCGACAGTTAGAAAAGATTCAAAGCATTCGTGGCCAAGAACCTGGGTGCAGTTCAAGGAGTATCGGGGCTGGCTTCGAGAAGGACCACTCACCAACGACCTTGGATTTTTACAGAAGAGGTCTTGCTGTAACGAGGACAAGGCCGAATCTAATTGTGATAGTCAAAGTTGTTCATCCTCTCAGGGTTAGTTTCAATCATGCGCCACAAAGGGGAGGAATCTTTTGAGGAGCAGACAACATCAGACAACATCAGACAACATCAGACAACCAGTGAAAGAAATCCAACTAAATCCTTGTTGGTCCCTTCCTTCGGAGAAAACACATGAATGGTATACGGCTATCACGTCTGCTTGGGTATCAGATGAGACAGAGGGACAGAGGGACGGGAGTCTCCAGGTGCCCAACGGTGAACTGGTCCTGGAGAATTCCTAAACCGAACGTCCCTTTTGTTTAGTAGTGGATTGAGAGGACCAAAGGCACAGACCCCAGGTGGTTTAGGACTGAACCCCCATGTCTCTAGGACATCTTGAGGTCTGTGCCATCGAACCTCTGAAACCATCTGAAACCACTGTAGATTCACACCCCCACATAGGGCTAACGTCCCACCGAACCGAGCCCTTGAGCCCAACCGAGCCGTCCGGTCCGTGCGGTGACCGGGATCTCAAGCTGGTTCACTTTGAAGGGCGACTTGTGACCTGCTGTAGCCTATTTTTTAGGCTGCCTTAGGCTGAAGCAATTGATCACAGACATGTGATTTATCATCTACTTTACTCTTACTTATTTTCCACTTGCAGGAGCGCATCGACCCAGATCTCTTTGTCATGTTCAGCACGGAGCTGCTTTGCCTCTACTGAGGTGATTTTATCTTTCCAACAACACGTGCACCTGGGCGGCGATGTGCATCCCTGTGCGGTGTGCCAAACACTCGCTTTTTGGATTCGATCGACTAGACCTCCAAATCGGCAAGAAGATGCTGCTGCATAGCTATCCTTCCTTTTCTGTGCAAAATCATTACCTGAAATAGTGAAATAGTGGTGACATGGGATGACTGGTGGTTCCTACTTGGTCAGATTCCTTTTGTTCTTGCAAGGTGGGTATTCAAAGGACCAAGTGACAGGCCGCGGTGTGCATCCCTGATACGACATACCAACCAATGTCCACCTAGAGCCTGAGTGACCTCTATTTTGGACCAGCAACCCACATAACAATGTGGTCCAACTTCTTATCGAAACAGGCCATGTCTGGTCTCTAGGCACCCACATGTCCCCTCTTCACGCTGTTTTTTTCTTCTTAGACACCTTTCAAGGCCGATTCGTCGAAGACTCAGCGCGTTGTCTCAGGGGATTCACCAAGTAAGTGGCAACACGACTTCAAGTCGTTCGTTTCCACCTGGGCCCGGCCCCATGCTGTTCCAGACCGTCAAAGTGAGGCTGCTCCATCCACCCCTCTGCATGGCGACACTCACTCCACCCAGAGAAAAAAAACAACACACCAACGCTCCAGCTGTCCCACCCACCATCTTTGTGCCACAGATCTCCAGTGATGATGATTCTCTTCATGCCTCCGCGACCGACAGGAATACGATCATCTCCTTGCCCTTGGTGGTGATCTTCCTCGTTGGGATCGGCACCAGCTTGCCCGACGCCTTTGCGGCCAAGTGTGGCTTCGCCGTGGGCGTGTGCGCCGTGGTGGCCGGGCAGTTCGTGCCGGACGGGCCTCCGGAGGGGTATTGGAGCGGGTGGAAGGGTTGGAGGTACCAGGCATGAAACAATGACAGGTCTTGAGTGGACGTCAGGTTGGAATTGCTCATTTAATCTCATTTATATATACTTATACTTGGTGATTAACGTGTTAAATGTTGTCAGTGCCACGCAGCTGCCTGGAATACAGTTTCGAGGTCATGGAGTGGCTCATGAGAGAAGATAGTGACCATGGAAGATTCTAAATGTTTAATTATAATGTTCCAGCCATGGCGTGGGAAACTACATCCGTCACCAAAGGTCCATAGAGGTCCATTAGATCAACGCATTTTTGACATGTGTTTCCAATGTTTCGTAACTCCTGGGATTTTGTATATCTCACAGCTGTCGCGTTGCTTCGCAGCTGGTGCTTTCCAGCTGTCGCGTTGCTTCGCATGTCCAAGGCGACGACAGTAGCTAGTTGGTCAGACTAGTTTGCACATCCAGGTGTTTCTTTTTTACAACCTTGTGAGAAGGAAGACTACAGTAGCTAAGCCGAAGGAAGACGAACCGATACAGCTTGCAGTTCCACCTTCGCCCCTGGACCTTCCGAGCGAACCGATCCTGGACCGGTGCGCCCGCAGGAAGAAACGCTGCACTACTTCCACACCTTCTTCATCGCCTTTGTTTTGGCGACACTCACCATACTCGTGACCACCTACGTGCCTCGTATACATGACCTGCGCCAACTGAGTCGGTGTGCGACAACACTGAAACAGCGGCGAGCTGTGACATGGAACACATCTGTCATGAACGAACTGAGACGGCATCAGTCAGGGTCTCGAAGGAAAATTTGATGGCAATTGATGTTGTATATGTTGATGTGTCTTAAAGAGTCAAATGATGTCAAATGATAACAAGACAAGTCTTCACACAAGTCTTAATCTTCCATACTCATGTTTGCAAAGATTGGAGATGGACTTGGATGGAATAGGAACCTGTTTCTTCAGCTCAAATGGTTTTGTTCCCTAGGCCAAATGTCCCAGTTAATGTACGTAGATGAATGGCACTGGGTCAAAGGTAACCAAGGTCCCTGATTTTGACCCACTGCAAAATAGCTTCCCTTCTCTTCCTACAGAACCACTTATTCTTTATGGCTCATTGGCAGCCTGAAATGAAATCCAATTCATCTTTTCTCCTTCACCATGACTTCAGGGGTTCCAGATGGTTTTGGATGGCTTCCGCATGGTTCCATGAATTTCCTATACATGTGTCATACCCTGCCGCCCCTCCAAAAAAACCATCCGCACCCCCTCGAACACGCGAACAAAAACCACCTGCACTGCCGTCCCTCCGCGTTCGTCTCCGCCGTCGTTCGGTTCGACGCCTCCCCGGCCCGGAGGTGCCCTGCATCCGCCGTCTGTGTGGTCAAGCGCCCAAGCCCGTGGCGCACGTGCAGCGGCTCGGTGCCGCCAAGGTGGAGATGCGACCCTGGCGGCCGGTGCATCCGCTGGTCTGCGGCTTGCTGGCCACTTGGAACAGCATGTGCAAGGCCGCTACTAGGTCGGAGGCCATTACTACTAGTAGCAAGGACGCTACTAGGTGTATATATTAGCTTATTCAATTATATTTGTGATACCCAACAAGTCCAAAGGCCCAGTAAAGCCTGCTCTGTTACCTATTTTTACCTCCTTAATATTAGTGTTTTTATATGACCACGTCCAGTAGAAAGAGGTCATGGACCTGTAGGGATATAATAGACATATGTATATATATATACACACAAGTTACACGTTTTTGTTGCCATCATAAGGCAGATATTGGAAGGTGAAACTGTTTTTGGTAAATGGTACTGGGTAACATGCCAACAGCAACCTTTTGTTGGCGCCCTTTATGGAAATTGGTTTGTAGGGTTAAGAGCCATTGTAGGTCTTCTAGCTGACCTGCTTACCTTGCTGACTGAAATGCCTTCTAATCACTCGAAAGGGATGTCCCAACTCACCACTGGGCGAGGGATATTGGTACTGCAATGGAGTAATCATGAGTAGACGAAATGCAAGTTTAAGTGGCTTCCTATCAAAGTTGTATCCATCTTTTCTTCCGACGACGGTGTTCAGAGCTGGGAGGTGTTGTTCGCTCGGTGCGTGTGGGCTAGTCGCAGATGGGTTGTGAGAGTGGACTATTGTTGTGTGACTTGTTGATGTGGACATTTGCTCATTTGCTCTGTTTTTTTTTGTAGATGATAAGTATATTTAATGTGATATCCATTCCAGGTCCCCAATCAGCAATCTAGAAGTATTGGAGCATTGGAGGCGTAGTCAAAACGATCCAAATGCGGCTTCGGCCGGACATTTGCACTGGAATGTGGTACCCAGACATTTGCTTGCAAGAAGGTTGGGTCATTTCCTATAATAGTGTTTCGCTCCAGACATGTGGCTCCCTCCGCAGACGCTTGAAAAGAATGATGAGGTTTGTTGTGGCCTGTTTCTTCCGAGGCAGTGCTAGCAGTCTTGATCATCTCTCTACAGTTGGGCAGTGAACCTGGGCGGAAGAAGGATTTTGTTGTGGGATCAAAAGAAGACCGTTTAATAACAAAATAAGACTTGGGCCTGTGGTTGTCTCAATAGGAGGATCAGGTTCAGAGGATACCTCCATTGCGCGAGCAGCACCCTGGCAAGATGACCGCTGTTTTGTTGTCAGTGGCATCCAATCATATGGTTATAAGTACACTAATAAGACCACCTTGACACCTTGTGGCAATGACCATGTTGAGACCATTTGTTTTCCAGGGGATCCTTATCTTACTTTGTCAAGCTTGTGTGTTGACCAGAACATAGGTAGAAGCAACCTCCAAGATGTAATTAAAGGGATCGATCGTTCTCTATTTGTCGACACCGGCCACTCTAGAATCCATTTGTAGTCCCCGAAGTGGTACTCCTAGTCAACCAGCTGGAATATGGTTTGCATATTTTGACATTCTTATTGAAAAGGTCATTACTTGTCACCAAGCACTACCAAGCAGCCCTACAGCCTACGCCAAAGGTGGTCTCAACAATTCCAGGGCACAACCATCCTGAAACGCCAAAGGTGGTCCTTTCAACCTGTAATTTTTAAAGGTCCAGGGCCTGATAGATTTCGAACTTCCGCTGGTCTTCCTTTGATCCGAACGAACTGCAGAACTGCAACTCCCGAACTAGTGCCGACTCGCAGGAAGCGCTCTTCTACACCTTTTGGGCCTTTTGGCTGATGGTCTTGGTGACGCTGCTCTTCTGGCGCGTGCGCCCGAAAGAGAACCCTCGGAAGCGCCTCGGCAGTGCCCCAAGGCTGGTTTTCCAAAGCTGAGCAATAGTGTCGAAGTACTGCAAGGGAAACTAGAATGATGAGGGCTTCTACACAAGAACCAGTTGAAGAGAGAATCCAGTCATATGACATATATATATATATACATATGAATTCCAAGTGAGTGGTGATGGCCTCATATTTTGAGGCTGCCTTTCACTTTCAATTAGTTTTGGCTGGTTGCTCAATTGTTCGGGAATTGCTTCAGGTGGGTGTGGCTCGTGCTTTGTTTGTGATTGTCAATGGGGCCTACTAGTTGCGCTTTGGACCAGCCCTTGCACCAGGTCTTTATTCACATCGCTTCGCGGTCGAAGCCGCCCGCACAGAGTAAAGGGAAAACAGACACACACATACAGACATAGACATCCATCCATGCATACAGACATAATCAGACATACATACATGCATACATACATGGGAAAAGTGTGTCATTAGCACCCTACCGGCTCGGCAGCAACCTGCGCTCGCGGAGCCGGGAACTAGCAACTTGTGCTCTCGGAGCGGAGAGGAAATGTTAACCGGGCTCAAGCGTGAAGAAGCGTTTCGCTATGGCCCTATCTGATCACCAGCCTTTTCACAGAGGGTTCTGTCTTGGTGCGTCTGTCTCGGTCTCGGTCTGTCTGTCTCGGTCGGTCTGTCTCGGTGTGTTTGACTCGGTCTGTCTGTCTCGGTCTCGGTCTGTCTCGGTGTCGGCCTTTCTGTCTCGGTCTGTCTGTTTCGGTCAGTCTGTCTTGGTCTGCCCATCTCGGTCTGTCAGTCTGTGTCTCGCTCGGGCAGGACACACGGACAAGTAACCCACGATGTCAATAGTGCAGCGTCCCCCGGGCTGCACCTACGTCCATGTCGAGAATGCGATCTTTCCCGCCCAGCAGAACTGGCATCGCCGACGTGTAGGCCAAAATCATATCTTTTTTTTGCCACGCAAAGCACACGTTTCTAGGAGAAAGGCGCCCCCCTCCCCAAGCTAAAGCTTAAGATTTAATCTAGCAGATTTCTTGTGGCTGCTGTTGATGCGAGCCTCTACAACGCCCTCCGCACCTTCGGTGCGGGCTGGTTTTGACTGTGACTCTTGCATGCCAAGTGACAGGCTTGCTATATTTTCCCGTGGCACAACCAAAAGGGATGACCCTAGCTCCTCACTCCTTTTTTTTCACAGCGTCTTTGTTCTTTCCTCTTCGTTTTCCGAAGTCGATGCGAAGTGTACGGTCTTAGGACGAATATCTGTGTCATCTTCTGATATGTGTTTCTTCATGGCTTGGGATATGCCACCATTTTGGGGGAGATCCCTGTTGCCATCGTCCAACATAGGTGACCAATATTGCAGACTGGAAAGATGCTTTCCAGCCCATGCACCCATGTAGTGTGTAACAGGGATCTAAATGGTTGTCCGTTTGTTCCAGAAAAAATTGTCCTTGAGAATGATGCAGAAACATTTGCACTCAGAAGAAACATTTCCCAAAAATCTTGTGTTTCGGTGGGGTGTCAGCCAAGGAAAGGATTAAACAAAAAAACTGTACATACGGATGGATCCCTACATATATATACCTAGATCTTCCAACTATGTGAAATGTTTGCCTTTTGGCTGGCTTTATACAGTAGATGAAAAGGCTGAGATTATGCATAGTTGGAAGAGCTAGGTATAATTTGCATCCAACAAACTGTAGGTGTAAGTGTAGAGAACCATTGCCTCATCGTGTTGGTCCTCCAAAAAGTGAGGCCGGAGATGAAGGTGGAAATCCCTGCGGACAACCCCGTCGTGGCGGATGACCATGTGGTGGGCGCCGGCTACATCCAGGGCCGCTCAAGTCAATAGCTGGTCAGCGGCTGGTCCAGTGAAGGTTGACAAACACCTGGTTTATTGTGTGTGATCGTGTATTTTCAACTGTTCTCCTTGTGGATATTCCCTATAGGCTTCCTGGCCCATCTCCTCAGGTGGTTCGACCCCCGTGGCATCCACCCCAACCATCTTAGAAACGGAGGTGGGCCGGCCAGGAACCCAAACGGGATGATGTGCTTTGCCGGCTTCCTGGACAGCGAAACAAACCATTCAGATACATTCCACATGGGACCGTCATGTGCGACACCTAGCGGTCGCGAATCGGACCATGGTGGTGGACAGCTGTCAGCGGAGTGCCCCTTTTGGAAGACCCGGTTCCGCTCCGGACACGGCCGCCCCCTCTTCGGGTGGGGGTGCCCACCGGATCTGGTGACGACAGGTTCTCACCTTCGACTAGACCAATCGTTGGTCCATCACCGATTGACCAACTGCCTTGTGCCGTATTTGGACCGATACCTTTTTGTGGCCGATCCCGTGACCGGTGGAGTGGTCAAGTTCCGATCTTTTGCAGCCTAAGCACCTGGAGTCGAACCGTTTTTGTTCAGAGAATGGGTATCAAATTTGTACCTGTTTGTTCTTCGGGCTCCAAGCCGTATCCTCGGATGGGCGGTGATATTCAGGTCATCCAAAGTCACATATCGTTTTTTTGTCAGCATTTGTATATAGTTCCTGGATGTCAATGGATTCTCTTTCGCAAGGGAAGATCTCCTATAGATGCTGGTAGCATTTGTTCACAAGAGTGTGGTAGGACGTTTCTTGCCGAACTTCTTCATCTTCCTTCCCCAATTCCAGAATCCACTTCCCAAAACAACTGCTAAGAGCTCAGTTTTGCTGGCCACCCACTTTTTTGGATGTAAGAAGGGACGTCAAAAAGCATCACAGCCCTGCCAAATCGACGCACAATCAGCTACCATCCAACATCACCGGTCGAAGCGCCGGTGACCGGTCGCAGCGACTTCGGTCGCCCTTCGGTCCTCGGTCACGCGTCCGAGGCGTCAACGAGTGCCCGGGCCCAACGAGATTGTGAGGTCGTATCGATTTCTCCGGTGCGATGCACTGAAAACAGAGTGAGAGAAGCCAGGGCCATAGAAAGTAGACGAGTAATCATAAGAGTTCACTTAAAAGAACGTGAGCAATATGATGTGTATATGTTCACATTGTTGACTTTCAGTTTACTATTAGTCAGATTATGTACATGATACTTGGTATTCCAATCAGTTATTATGTTCTTTCAAGGTCTTTGACCCATGTCAGAAAGGCTTTACTTGGTGATTCTGACATGAAGGCTGACACACTCAGTGTGACACACTGGTGTTTGATCCAACCCCTGTGTCCACAGGGTGCTTGGACAAGCTGTTTTCCACCCCTGAACGTCTCTAACAACCAGGCACCTCCAGCACCCAGTTCAGAGACGGCGAAGCGATGCGGGTTGGATCAAAGAGATTCTCCGAGACCGCCGAGACGGTGCCGAGAACGGCGGAGAGCGAAGCTGAGTGAATTCCAAATGTGTTCTCCCGTCGTGGGTCGTGGTGTATAGACTGTGTGCTGCAGCGGTGGGAAGGCAAGGTGCCGGCCGGAAGAAGTCATGCATGTGATTCGCACACAGACTTCGGGGTGCCCGGGGTGGGGTCTGGGTGCCAATCTACCTCTTTCAAGAAACTTGCAGTGGTAAGATGGATTCAAGACAGGAATGTGGGCGCGTGGGGTGATGGGAACCCCCCTCAAATATCCTCAAATTAATTCCTCCAATTCCGATTCAACAGTTGGAACACCTTTGATCCAAGGAGCAAACCCATCCGGGCCAGCAGCAAGCCGGAGGGCACAAGCCAAGCCGTTCGCGCAGAAGCATCAGATGTAAAGATCAGCTATGACCGCGGCAGAAACAGAAAGTCGAGGTGCATGATATGCTGGTGGGAGAGTCAAGCCAAAGGGCACAGTGAGATATTTGTTTGTTTGTGTGCCTATCACAACCAGTAATTATCAGTAGCAGAGCGTAACGATGAGGGCATGTTTGTTCATTTTTGGGGAAAGCATATGACATATACACCATCAATATGACATCATATGACGTCAAACAATCGCACTGGCTACATGACGTACCACCTGCACTGGCTACATGGCAGCTGGGGTCTTCAGAAGCCGACCAATTGCTACTGGAAGAACGGTTTTGGCGTCCTGAACCCCCCGGAAAACCCATTGAAACCGATATGTGCCGGCTGCAGTCGACTAGACTCCTTGTCTAATTTCATGGCCGAGGGGGGCCATCACTTCCCACAGTTTTGGACAACTCTAGACGTTAGACAGGGAGGCGCTTTCTGACGCTTCTTTTGGTTTAGGACAGGTTTCAACCAAACAAGTGTATGCCCTGCACGTGGCATTTCGTTTCGGAGGGCCCATTCACTTTCCTAAGATGTTTGCAAATTCTTATGATTGAAGGCAGGTCGTCTTTAATTCTTTATATAGTGCACTTCACATTGTGTAGACTGTTGAGTTGATTCATATGGGGGGGGGTATTGATTAACGGTCTACATTGGACTGTTGATTAATCGCTTCGCTCATGAGTTACACTTCCTTCATGTTGCCGGTTGATTCATACATCCCCCTTATGCGTTCTTTACGTTTTGCTGGAGATAAAAGGATCATCCGGTCCCCTTGACTGGGGTTTTGATAGTCAAGCAGATTCCTCAATGACATCTGAAGCGGTGCCATCAATTGATGCGCTCACCAGCAGCTGGCGTGGTCAAATCCAGGATTGCGCCAGCACAGCGAGGAAAACGACGTAAGATTTTTGCCTCGCGCGCCGTTCTGCAACGGCACAATTGTGGAGGAAATCCTCAACAACCTGAGAGGAAGAGAGGAAAATACTCAGAACGCTGATGTTATACCCTTGTGTTTTCAGGACCATGTAAACAAACTGTGACGACAGTGCGAGCTCGTATACGGTTGATGGATTGGTCTGTTTCTCTCGAGTGGTGAAGGATATCATTCCACAGATTTCGCAGCCCGCCACAGGCTGCGGGCCCCAAAAAGGGATTTCATCCTGGTCAATTGTGCCGGGAGCAAATTGAAGATGGAAGTCATCATGAGTGGCTATGTAATGGTGGGATTGCTGAACGAATTGTATTTGTTCAGGTACGGTATGCCTGCTGGCACTAGCGGCATGCCTGAATTCCAGTCATTGAGCCTTGCAAAGGTTTTGTGGGCGATACATGTACAATATACAAAGATCATATAAGTTCGAACGTACATCTTTCTGTGAGTCTGTCACAACCACACTACGCAGTCGTTCGTATTCGCCAGACTGTGTGCGTGTGTTCCGATTCGCTTCCAGACTGGATGACAAGTGTTGTGCCCACCCCATCGCTGAGCGAGTGTGCCGAGTCAGCTTTCATGCCCTTCAGCAGTCGAAAATGGTCGAACCGGAGAATTCCAAAGAGCACAGTTCACAAAAGAATACCCTTTGAGGCAGAGGTACTGACAGCAACAGACTTTCCGACGGAGGGCAGTTTTTGTAGAGGTGTCTTTTGTTTCCAATATTGTAATAGTTTTTTGTTTTCCAAGGTCAGAGGAAAGGAAGGATGGAAGGAAGGCAGGCAGGCAGGGTGCCAAGAAGCGACCCATTCCGCATCCCTTTGGTGGGCCACCCGAGGGAGACGGAGATTTGAGACCGGAGACGGTGTCCCACAGTAGCGTCGCGAATGAATGCGTGGGTGTGTTTGCACCGTGTATAGCATGCCTAAGGGTAACATTGAGAGCATGACTTTGTGCTGTTGCAACGGCGCATCCCTTTTGTGGGCCCCACGATCCAGCTTCTCCATTTGTGCACCCATCGCAAGATCGCGCAGAATTCATGATCCAAACGCAAAGGAGTCCTGTTTCTTGGCCACTCATGCCGGCTGAATCCAGAAGACGGACCTTTGTGTCAGGAAAAGGCTGAGCCAGGGCAGTGAGTGGATGGTGAAGAAAACTCCTCCAAGCCAAGGCTGTAAGAATTCCCACGCCGCCGTTCCTAAGATGTTTTGAAGCTTCACGATGGGGTTCCGTTCAGCCGCCCCCTCCGTTTCAGTTCGGTGGTTGGGGTGGGCTCTGTGCGCACCGAACCTGAGGCAGGAGCGCCAGGAACGCCTCGGGGTCTAGAAAATTCTCGGATTGTTCTGAGTCGTTTTCCGAAGGCAGAGTATTTTTAGATTTGTTTGAATGGCGGAGTGTTGCACAGAGAGCAGCCTCCGTGTCGTTCGAAGAGATGCTATAAGACTCTTTGGCCAACCATTTGTGCTTCTTAGCCTGATTCCCGAACAACCAGTGGTTTTACTAAGGGTTTTACATGGTTTTACACTACAAAACTAGGCTTGAAAAAAATCGAAGACTACAGCATCCGAAGCACTCTCCCACTCCCCGAAAAAATCATATGGAAACTGGTCCTCCGGCCGAGATGTCGGGGTCCTCCGGCCAGGTTTTCCATGCCAGGTTACGTTGACCATGGAGAGAATTTCAGGGAGGATACAGCCAGGAACCATGGAAGCTGAAGATTTACCTTTGGATGATTTCCCTCTATACCTTGAAAAGGGAACCTACTTGTGAGGCCCCCTGGTGGAGACATTCTTTGGACTCAACTAGGCCTGCGTATCTCTTCATACCTGGGAGGAACGCCCAAAATGTTTGATCGCTTATTGCTTACTCAGCTCACTCATTGGAACAAAGAGCACTCTAAAACAAAGAGCACTCAAAGACTCTAAGTCTTTGGTTGGATTTATCCTACATCACTGCATGTTCTATCATTTTTTTGTGTGACACCCTCTCGAAGGGGTCGACTGGATGCCAGATGGCGCCAGAATTTAGCCGTACAGTGCCTTCCAGGTTTCTTGCTCAATCTGGATGAAGTGTTTGTGTGTGCGGCAGTGATACATGGTCAAAATCTCCCGTTGGATGGACAAGCGGACGGCCACAAACTGAGACAGCCTACACACCAGTGCCAGTCCCATGTTTTCAGGGCAAAGGCCAACCATTTTCTACCAGATGGACTACCCGCAGAGCTGGGACTAGGCCTAGAGGACTAGCCCCAGAGCTGGGACCCTGCGAGCTGAGGCCTTACGGGTATCCTTATGGTGCTGCTCCAGTCAGCAGCGTGACCGGGGACGGCAAAACTGGGTGCCTTCGGCGGACACATCGAGGGACGGACTGAGCGAGTCGGACGCGCCACGAGTGACGCCAGCCATCCCGGTCGGCCATCCCGGTATCCTCCTGGACCCGCCTGGCTGGCACCTACCAGCCACAGTGTCGAACACATCACTGACCTCAGTGGATCCCTTCGGGTATGAGAAGCGTTTCACCTAATTCAGTCACATGGGATCACCTGCCAAACCAAACTTTTTGGGAGTTGGGTGAAACCCCACGACAGAAAACGGTGGACCTATCTGGAAGGTTGTTCACTATATGGTAGACCAGAGCTCCAAGTCTTGACCCATCTCTAGGATCGTCCTGTACTTTTACAGGGAAAGTGAGGGAGTCAGATGTTTGAGGTCAGAAAGCTTCGAAAACTAGGTGCTTGACGTGTTCTTTTTTGTGAAGTTGTCGACGTTCCTTGGGACAGGTGGACGCAAACTAAGACTAAGACCACCAACCCCAGCAAACACAATGCACAGCCCGGAAAAGAAAACTGTGACATGTGAGGTGAACTGCCAGATTCACTCCCAGTTTGCTGTGTTTTCTTCCCCAGGAGTCAAAAGACTGAGTCACTATGGTCCCAGTGGATTTTGGTGTCGAATCACCATTGTTTCCCTTTCGGCCTCCAAAGCGATGCATTCGACATTGTGGGAAGCGACGCTTCCTCGCCTCAGGAGCAGCATGGCAGAAGTGGCGCCCGTTGCTTCGACAGCGAAGGCGCGGGTCCAGGCAGACTTAGGAGCTGGAAAACTCCCTCTCCAGCCAGACTCAGACTGTTATATATATATATATGTATATATTTATATATAGTTCTCCTGGTCCCAGGGTCTGTGGTCCGCGTGCATGGCTTTTGACACCATGTCA